TCATATCTTTTAGCCTTTTGTTTCTGTCCATGGGGTTTTCTTAGCAAAGATACTGGAGTGGCTTGCCAGTTCCTGCTCCAGGTGCATTTAGTCAGAACTCTCCACTATGACCTGTCCATCTTGGGTGTCCCTACATGGCATAGCCCAAAGCTTCTCTGAATTACTCAAGCTGCTTCACCACAAGAAGGCAGCAATCCATGAAGGGGTCGGCCCAGCAGAGTCATGCCCATTTGCCTGAATACTTTTAAGAGAAGGTGCAGTATCGTGCTTCAGGTATCTAGAACACAGCTCCCTTCCAAGCCTGTTTGGGAATGAATTTATATCTCCAGACCTAATTCCAGTAATCTATTAAAGGAGCCTAATAAATGAAAATTAAAAACATGGCTGTTTATTCAGGCCTTCCCTCCAGCCAACTCTTGATTTTTTTCTTACTTTTCCTTTTTATCTTTACTGCTGTTCTTGTTTGATTATTATGTATTTGTCTATGTTTTATTATTTAATTTTATATTTGGAAGCCGCCTAGAGTGGTCCGGTGGGCCAGATAGGCGGGGTATAAATTAAATAAATAAATAAATAAATAAATAAATAAATAAATAAATAAAATGTGTATATCTGGATCAGGCACTATATTAGCATGCCATCAGAAGAATAAAATCAATTACTGTTTTAGCTCTGTAATGTTCTCCTAGTGTCACATCTGAGTAGTCAAAATGCAGACTAAGCTGGTGTTAGACGCCTGACAACCTCTCAGAAAACAAGATGATTTACAAGCGAAGAAAGAAATTCATGGGATTATAACCAGACAGTTTTTAATATATAAGGATTTGCCATTCCTTACAATATGCTCTTTGTGACATTTGTTTTGGCCCCTAGTCCAGACCTAGTGAATCTAGGACCTGATCCTGACAGTGTTGTAAAAATTTAAAGAAATTTTCATCAAACCTTTTTGCCATAGAGAAGCAATGCAGAAAACTCTATGCCTGAATGCAGTGGGGGGCTTGTAATATGTGCTATGGCTGGATATATAATTACATAACTCAGTGTCATGCCTGCCTATGAATCTGTCATTCCTGCAGGATACCGGTGGGAATGTATGATGTAGTTCTCCATATCAAAGGGTGTATAGATAAAGACACATATTGACTTAAAGCATCTAATGAGGTTAGTTTTTTAAATTCATTCTCTTACTTTAATTATTTCACAAAATACTTCATTTGATAGAAAAGCAGATCTAGTGGGGAAAAAGAAATGGTGTGGGGGGTTTCCAGACTAGTGGTAAATTTAATTATGTGACAGATAAGATATCCTTAATATTTTTGTTTAAGAACTGCTTTTATTGTGAGTTTTCAGGTAAAACCATATATTACTTCAACTGTTTTGTTTTACTGTAAATATTTGTACATAGTAAATGTGTCCTAACTTCCACTAATGTTTATCTTCCATTAATACTGCTAGTAACAACAGTGCTATTAGGAATTTACTTATCAAGTATCCAAAAGTCTCTTGTTATCATGTTATTATTTCTGCTTAGTTTGGGAGGTCAATATCTTGTTCCAGTACTACTAATACAAGCCTTTAAGGAGCAGAATAAGGGATGCACCAGCTTGTAAGTGGGATTTAGGGAATGATAAATTGATCAGATTTTGGAACTTTAAAAGTAACTGCAGAAAACTGTTTTATTATACAGTAATACTACTTGTCTAAACTATTAGAACATAACGGTTTTCTTAGAGTTAACAGATGTGACAAACCGTGACAAAAATTAAACTATTCTTCTTTCTTCTCATCCTTTGAAGATGCTTCTCTGTGAGGATGAAATGACAGCAACGGGTCCACAAAGCTGAGTGACCGAAATATTCTCACATACCTAAAGTAGCTGAAGACAAGTGTTCCCAAAAAGAGGATAACTATGAAGGCAGACCAACCAATAATCTTAGCGATGTTCGGTCTGAAATGCAAACAAAGAGGAATATAAACATTTGCTTTTTCATTTTTTTCATTCAGATCCAGAGAGGATCTGGACCCACAGAAAGATTTGGTGTTGGAAGTACTTTCCCATGAATGGAAACATTTGGCCATGCATTTCAGCTAATCACAACAGTATAACTTTCCAGGAACCCCAACACAGCCCTACTGTGTGCTACAGCAGGCTATGAGCTCTGCATCCTACCTCAGTTCTGCCATGTGCTCTTTCCTAGTGTATAGATTTTCATCTTTCAAGGGAAGAGGAAATAAGTCCCTACTGCATACATAACCCCAATGAAACAAAAGCAAAGATGGGGAAAATAGGAAGAAAAAGGTGATTTAGCATGAAGGGCAGGGTAACTATTAGTTTATATAAAGATTTTTTTTATTTTTAGGTGAACTTCACATACTGAATAATTTTAATTTTTTGCCTTTCTCTAAAATGTCATTATTTCATACTATTGTTGGTTCTTGTACTTCCAATCCAATTTTTTGAAGATGATTTCTTAGCACATTTGGTACAATTTGAGTCTATAGAACTAGTGGTTTACATCTTTGTATGCAATGCTTTTAATAGCATTGTCTTCTATAAAGGAGGAGCATTGGTCTTCAAAACATGTCATATTTTTTCAGCAATTTATCTTGTTGATTACATGATCTGTATTTTTTTTTACTGGTCCTGATGAAACAATTTATCCCTCTCAACATTTTTCGTCAGTCCCCTATGCCAGCAACAGTGGGGATAGGCCTAGCCAAAAATATAGAGATGCCACTATTAATGTCTTGATCATTTTTTCACATAAGAGCAAATGGTTGGAAGGACATTATCACTTCTGCCTTAGTTACACTGCTGTAGCTACTCCCATGATGGTCTCTCAAGAAAGACAGAATGAGTGATGAGCAGCAAATACACATTGCAAAATCCTTTGCCAAAAATCACACTGGGAAGACCCACCCAGGTAATCTTCCCAGAATACTGTTGAACTTGATGCTAAGGGGGACAAATCTTTAGCCTCTTCTCGTTGAAGCAGTAGTAACTGAATTTGGTATTGTGGGATGGTCATCAAAAGGCATGCCTGCCACCTTGGCATGGTCATTCTGAAATAGATTGCTAAAGCCCAACCTAGTGTGATACCTCAATGAGATGGCTGCAGGCAGGGAGTTTGCCAAACAGCTGAATGAAGAGTGGCATTAACCTATTGCTCCCATGTGTTTCCAGAATTTGTGATGAACAGTGTGGCTGCCTGCATGAAATTCTGGGACAGTTGCCCCATGAGGGCTGCCACCTTGTCCCACAGCAACAGCTGGTAGTGCCCAGGTAAGCTTACTAATTAGTAGTTCTTATAGGTGAAGCAGCTGTGGAATAGGCATTCCTTTCCCATTAATATAATATAATATAATTTATTGTCATTGTAAGTATATACAGTGGGGTCTTGACTTGAGAACTTAATCTGTATTGGAAGGCGGTTCTCAAGTCAAAAAGTCTGTAAGTCAAGTCTCCATTGACCTACAGTGCATTGAAAACTGATTAATCCCGTAACAGGCCGTTTTTGTTCCATTTTGTTTTTTTTCTGGTCTGTAAGTCAAATTTCAGTCTGCAAGTAAAACCTAAATTTTGCGGCCAGAGAAGTCTGTAACTCAAAAAGTCTGTAAGTCAAGCCGTCTGTAAGTCAAGGGTCCACTGTACACAGTATACCCATACAGCGAAATTCACAGACACCCAGAGACCAGACACATGCACACACATAACATTCCCCAAACACTCCCCACCCACTAGAAGTCCCCCACTAAAAATACAAACATCTACACCTCAGGCCAAGTAACACAGTCCAACTAATTATTCACTACTGGTGGTCTTTAAGCTCATTATTAATTGTAATTATAGCTCTAGGATAAAAACTATTTAGAAAACGTGTGGTCCGAGCCTTAATTGTTCTATATCTTCTGCCAGACGGTAACAGTTCAAAAAAGTTATAAGCAGGATGGGAAGAGTCTCTCAGGCCTTCTGCCTTCCTTGTCAGGTGACATCAATATGACAGTAACTGAATTTGGTACTGAATGCTGGAATGGATGTTCTAAGCCTTCCTGTTCAAGACTTTTGATCCACTTGTATGATACTGGCACTAGAGATGGTGTTTTGAAGATCTCCTCTGTTGATCTTAACAAGAAAGACAACTAGGACAAATGCATTTTTTCTTTGTTCTAAACATCAAAAACATTGAATCCACCTCAGGGTCAAAACCCTGATGCATGATATCACATTCTCCATGCCTGTCATGACATGGAGATCGGTTGGTGAAAAATTAATAATGATCTTACCTTTGGGATTGGTTCTGACACTAGTCAAGAGATGGTGAACATTAATTATAATAGTAATAAGAAAAGCTTCATTGATAACAGTGTTGAAGACTTCTACACTGATTTATGCCTTGCTTTTGAGGCTCTAGAAGAGCAGTAAGAAGATGGCACTGAAGGCCTTAAGATGGTCTCCATACAGACATGCCTCAAATAGGCATGGCCGTGACCAAAACAACAGCACATTCAGTAGTCTGTTGTTGGGTCAGCAAGGCCAGTTGTTTCTCACCTTGGATTTCAGCCTGATATTGAGCCAGGAAAGGCTTATCAAGAGGAATATAAGAGGCAGCCTGAGGAAGCATTTTTGGTGACTGTTGCAAGATTTCCTCCAGTGTTAAGGAAAGAATTTCTTGCATCTCTTTCAAGTCAAACTCTCAAATAAGTTGCTGCTGACTGAATTTTCATCTTTTTTTTTTTTTTTTTTTTTGCAGATTGATAAGGATGGACTCCCTTCAACTTGACCACCTTCTCCTTTGATGCTGACATGGTTGAGGGTGAGGCAGGGTTGTCCCAGTGAGTTGAAATCAATGATGAAGCAGGACTTCCCTGAGTCACTGTAGTAGTTGTTTCGTTTAGTCATGTCCGACTCTTTGTGACCCCTTGGACCAGAGCACGCCAAGCCCTCCTGTCTTCCACTGCCTCCCAGAGTTGTGTCAAATTCATTCTGGTAGCTTTGATGACATTGTCCAACCATCTCATCCTCTGTCGTCCCCTTCTCCTCTTGCCCTCACATTTTCCCAACATCAGGGTCTTTTCCAGGGAGTCCTCTCTTCTCATCTATAGTAGCAGCTGTTGCTAATGAACCTTGAGGGCCCCAGGCAACTGAAGAAACTTGAGGACCCCAGGCATTTGGCAGACCAACTCCCTTGTATATCCTGAGGCAGAAATAGCCACTAAAGTTGTAGCAGCAAGGGTGCAGCTGTGGTAGTGCACAAAGTGAAACTGAAGGAAGAAGTGCTGGAGCATGGGTCATAGAGGAGATGGAGGGGGTGGAACAGTCAAAATCTCTCAGTCTCAGGAATTCCAAACGGAGTAGCTTTGCACAGGTGCAGTATGAGTGCATGGAGAGCATGATAAAGAACAATAACTCTGTTATGTTTCATCGCCTTTTGCACCCAGTGTTCACCATATCTCCCTCCCATCACTTTGTGCTTGGCAACTGAAAATTTATTTCATGTATCTGATAAAATGAGCTCAAAGCTTACACTGTAATAAATCTTAGCTTCTAGAGTGCCACAAAATTTTGGGAGATGGCTCAGGATGGATTGATACACATACCTATCTTCTGAAACATCTTAATAAACCTAGTACTGGTTGTCATAAACAAGTGATTGTTATGAAGATTTACCTTTTGATGACTCCATATGTGCGGACTGCGAAGAAAATTTCAAAATCACAAAAGCTGGAATGAACAAAAAGTACTGATCATTTTCTGTAACTGTACATCGTAACAACAGGAACAATACTATAACTGAGGGGAGGAGACAAATTTTAGGCCATTACTGTTTCAGAAAAAAATGAAGTGCTAGATTCATCACAATGCTCATACTGTGAAAGAATCTATGACAATTATCTGTGTCTTTCCAGAGGTAATGAATGCACTTGGTTTGGTGATTCTGCTGGGTGTCTTAGCATGTGGCTTAACTATCTATCCATTTTCTGCACCACTGATTAAATTTCAAAAAAAAGAAAAGAAAAGAAAAGAAATGTAGACTGTGAATAATGCCTGAATTCTGCTAACGTGCTGGTCTTTCTTACTTACTTAATTTCTTTACTTACTTATATGTTACCTTTGTTCTAAAGGAACTAAGGTGGCTTACAGTATTTAAAGAAACAAAGTTAAAAAACAATAATAAATTGTTACAATATTAAAAAGCATTAAATAAATATAGTAAAACTTATAAGAGCAAGATTAAAGGTCAAAGTAAAATACGGAATTAATGCTACAGTATGTTTTAAAAATCTCATTGGTCAACCAGTCATTTAAATAAAAGCCTGCCTGAAGAGAACGGTTTCATCTGCTTGCAGAAGGACAGCAAAGATGTGGTGAGCCTGGCCTCTCATGGGAGACAGTTCCAGAGTCTGGAAGCAGCAACAGAGAAAGGCCCTTTCCTGTAACCCACCAAGCACAACTGTGAGGATGGTGGAACTGGGAGAAAGTCCTCTCCTGATAAGCTTAATACTTGAGTAGGCTTATAAAGGGATATAGGGTTCCTTAAGTACCTTGAACCCAAGCCATTTAGGGCTTCATAGGTTAAAATCAGCACTTTGAATTGTGCCCAGAAACAACTGGCAGCCAGTGGAGCTGCTGTAACAGGGGAGTTATATGTTCCCTATAGCCAGCGCCAGTTAATCTGGCTGTGATATTTTGGACTCACTGGAGTTTCTGAACAATGTCCAAAGTCAGCCCCACAAAGACTGTGGTACAGTAATCCAACTGAGATGTAGCTAAGGCATGTGTCACCATAGCCAGATCAGACCTCTCGAGGAACAAGAACAGCTAGCAGAATGGTTTTAACTATTTTTAAATAAAATCCTTTGGAAGTTATAGTATTAAAAATAGTGCAGACAGCATATATACGTATTGCATAAAACATATTTTGATGTCTAAAGCATATGTTATAATGATGTGTTTCTTGTATTCTCTAAGGCTTTCACAGCTAGGATCTGATGGTTGTTGTGGGTTTTCCAGATTGTTTGGCTGTGTTCTTACGGTTTTTCTTCCTAAAGTTTCGCAAGTCTCTGTGCCTGGCATCTTCAGAGGATAGGAGTCAGATGTATTTCTTACTTGAGAAAAAAGTAGGGTGGGCATCTTCTTTGATTCCATGGGGCAAAACATGACCTCCATCACCTCGATATAGTGGAGAAAGTAACTTTTTTTCTTTCTTTACTAAGAGTATATGCACTTCCAGTGATGCCATTTTCACTGGAAGTAAAGTGCATGCATCTCGTATTTCAAGGCAAGCAGTGTATGTTTTAGCTCCTGCAAGAAAGTGTTTTTCTTGTTTTTCATTAAAAATAAGGGGCAAAGTTAGTTTTTGCCGTTGATGCAAATTCTCCAGTGTAGATTTGGAGTTTACATCATTTCTCAGGGGTCTCGCACAAAAAAGCATAGCACATGATTCCCACCATTGCCACAAATAAAAAGGCATGTTGATATTTGTCTATTCAGGTTCAGTATACAGTATTTAAGCTTTACATCTGTGCCTGTTTTGCTGTGAGCATACCTAATGAGAAACTGAAACAACCTGTGTGTAGTCAGAAATAAAATCAGGTAAATATAGGCATTGCCATGGGCATCCAGTGATCAAAATCCAGTTGCTTAGTGTAGTGAATCATACTACAGTAGGCTCATTGAATCAATGGGGATTCAGTGGGTCAACTCTGTAAGCTCCACTGATTCAAATAGGTCTACTCTTAACAATGATTTGTTATACTAAAGTACGTAAGCTGCAGTTAAAGTAGGACCATTTAAATCAATGGAACTTCTTGGAGGAGTTGGCTCACCAAATCCTTTCTGAATCAATAAACCTACTTTAGTTGCAACTTACTATGCTAAACAATAGGATTTTGGCTAGTGTTTTATTATCCTGTCTAGAGTACGATTATGTGTAAAATAAAATGGAGCATACTGTAAGCCAGTATGGAGTTCAATTCACCACAGTGCCTCCTCTGACTAGGGCTAGCCTATGTGGCCTTGGCAAGCTGCACAGTCCCAGGCATCCCCAGAAGAAGAGAATGATTAACCATTTCTGAGTATCTCTACCTGGAAAACTTTGGACAGGGTTGCCATAATTGAGTTGATGGCATATAATTATTATAACACTACTAGAACATTATGTCTTATGCTACATAGTAACAATTAAAACCAAGGGAATTTTTGAGCTAGCCATCATTGCATTTTTTTCCTGTTTTGGCTGCCGTCACCATATAGCTAGGGACCTCCATAATTATGATATGTTCTAATTATATCCTGTAATACACAACATATGTTAATTACTGCAAAGCTAACCTGAAGTTTGGATCCACTATTTTCAATTTGAACATATAAATGCCAGTATGATATTGAGGCCAAATGATGGAATTGATGCCAGAATGGTTCAATATCTCATATGGTTCATCTAAATCTCCTAGATTTCCATGTTCAACTTCAAAACAGGATTTATAATTCTGGTGGGAAAGCACAATTAATTGTAAGATACACATGTTTAGTGTATGAATAATACCATAAATACAGAACATCTGTGGAAGACAGGTGACAGACACCATCTTCATGTCATAAAGTTTGCTTTATATCCCGACAAATAAAAGCAAAAGCAAAAAAGTTGTGGCACCTTAAAGACTGATCATTACATTTCAGTGTGAACTTCCATGGGTTCATCTACTTCAGGCAGGATGAAGCAAAATTCAAGGTGATACACAGGGTAGCCACAGGAAACGGATTTACAAAAAGGTGACAATAACAGTTTGCTTAATGAATCACTAGAAGATAATGTTGGATCCAATCTAATCCATTGTTTAAAGCAGGGGTCCCCAACCCCTAGTCCGCAGCCTGCTGCCGGTCCGTGGCCTTCATGGGACTGGACTAGATCTCTGCCCCTCCCGCATGCACTCCCCCCGTACACACCCACATGCATGCACAGCTCACCCGCATGCACGGGTGCCCTGGCCACACCCACGAGAGCGCCCCACCCATCCACACATGGGCGTGAGTGCACCCCACTCACCCGTGAGCACGCCATGGCCATCCATGCATGCACAAGAGCACACCACGCCCATCTGCAAGTGTGCCCCGCTCAACCACACATGTGCACAGTGCCCACCAGCATGGCCCCTGCCCCCACAACTTGTCCACGGTTCGAAAAAGGTTAGGGACCACTGGTTTAAAGTACTGAGTTTAAAGTATTGAGTTTATGTTTTCTTACCTGTGGTCCCCAAAACTCATCTATCCAAACATTAGTCATGTTCTCTGTTTTCTTTGAACCCATTGAAAACCAACTTTGTGCTTCCCGCAAACACTGTACCTGTTCAAACAAAGAAACGTACAGAGTGAATGCATAAACAGAAATCTTCTCTAAACCATGCTCTTTGTTGAAAATCCAATTGTATTTTTTCCTTTTTATTTGCTCTTTTTCATTCAAGTATAAATATTTCATCATATATATATTTCTCTATTGCTCTTTTAAACAAACATTTCCCTTTCAAAAGCAGTTGTATTTATGTACTACTTCTACAAGAGCTTCTTTACACAGATACTATGACAATCAATATATGTTTATGCATAAATTAAACTTAAAACTATAGAACATTAGCCATGATCTCATGTTTTAGTCTTCACTCTTCGGTCAAGTGAGTAGTTCAGTACTTCTGGGAGGCGAAATTCCTATCTTGTAAAGCTTCAAGGGAGCTGGACAGGGGACAGATGTCTTCAGTGTGGAAGAGATTGTCACTCTCGAATTGGCCTTCTCAGCCACTCTAGACGCTGTTCGAAGACCTCCATATAGAGCATGATACCAGTCTCTCGAGACTGAAAGATGCATACTTACTTACTAAAGCTTCAAGGATGATTGGGGCTGGAAACCAAGCCCTATGAGGAAAGGCTGGCATGTTTAGCCTTGAGAAAAGAAGACTGAAGGGTGATAACATAGCATTTCTCAAATATTTGAAACTTGAAAGGCTATCATACAGAGGAGGGACAAGATCTGTTCTCGATCATCCCAGAGTGCAGGACACACAACAATGGAGGTTAAAGGAATCCAGATTTCAGTTGAATATCAGGAAAAACTTCCTGTTAGAGCAGTATGTCAGTGGAATCAGTTACCTTTATGTGTCAATTCTAAGAATTCTGCTCCTGCAATGCATGGCTTTGATTTGCCAAAAAAATTCCCCTTATTAGGACTGCTGAAGCCTCTGTGCTGCAAAGTCAGAAAACCAGCAGTCGGAAGATCAAATCCACACGACGGAATGAGCTCCCGTCGCTTGTCCCAGCGCCTGCTAACCTAGCAGTTCGAAAGCATGTAAATGCGAGTAGATAAATAGGTACCACCATGGTGGGAAGGTAATGGTGTTCCGTGTCTAGTCGTGCTGGCCATCTGACCATGGAAACTGTCTATGGACAAACGCTGGCTCTATGGCTTGGAAAGGGGGATGAGCCCCGCTCCCTAGAGTCGGACATGACTGGACTAAATGTCAAGGGGAACCTTTACCTTTAATAGGTAATCAGTTGGGGTTAGGGGCACCAGATCCCCATGTAGTTTAAAATGCATGTAAAACTCTTATGCCCCCAAGACCATAACTACAAAGGATACACACACATCAGTTCTCTCTATCAGGGTTCCCTCCCATGGCATTAAAATCATTTCCATACAGTACCATGTGTAAGGAGCCTTAAAGGTTCTTATGAACCCCTGCTCTAGAGGCTGAATTAGATATGTTTGTGGGCAGGTAGACCACTTCAATGCCTTCAGTGTTAAATTCATGCTGCTGTTTTGGAGTGGCCAGAAGCACAATATTTATTGAACATTCATTTTTTATTGTAAATAATTCTGTGTATAACCAAAACTATGCTGCTCAGACCCGTGCAATTCAAGGCAGAAGTGTACTGAGCAACTAGCTCTCAGTACACTTGCTCCTTAAACACTGATCTGCAGCTATGAAAAGGAATCCAAAGAGAAAAACCATGTTTCCAATCTTCCATTAACCTGCATCTTGATCAGTCTACACAAACCAGTAATTGGTTTACAAGTGCTGCACTAGTGCTGCAAAACTATTTCTATCGTCACCTGCACTTGTGCATCCCCACTGGATCCTGACCATTCTCTGGATACTTCAATGCAATTGTGTGATAGCCAGCTGTACACTATACATTCCACTGACTGATATACTTCATTTAACTTAGCATCATTAGCAGCATGCCCTTTATGATGTACAGACCCAGATACAGGTCATGCCTTTGTCAGGTTAATCGTTTTTGAGGAGGAAGATCCATGCCCAAAACACTGGAAATGCAGAAAAGGTCAAGGACCCTCAGATGTGTAAGAGATTGTACTCCAAAATGGAGGCTCAGTTCCAGACCCTGATGAGAAAGCTAGACCTTACACTAGGGAGGTCTCCCTATGAGAATGGGGTTCCTTGGGACCAAGTAATCTCTATGTTCACTGAATCATCCAGAGCTAGGTGGGTTGCATTTGAATGCTGTATGGCACTGCCAAAAACAATAGCCTCAGCAGCAGCATATAAGCAGCTAACTCCTAAAGCCTTAGTGCTAGAAATAAACTATTCCATACAATTTGTACTTGCACCTTTAAGATCCCCTATTGGTATGTCCACACTGTGATTGACTAGGCTGTTTGTTATGCTTTATGTTTCTTCTTCAGTGGACTCTGGTTATGTTTCATGGCTACTGATCGTGGGCTATTGACCTTGACTTGGACTTTTCCTTGTTTGCTGTGATGCTACTGGTTGTCTGCCCAGACTACCTACTACTTTGCTTCTTGAAACCTTATTGCTATTCCCCTGCTTTATGACTTCTATTGGCACTTGAGACCATGAAGCAGGACACATTTTTCATCTCAAAACCCATATGCCCTCAGAGATAATCAGTCGGGCCACATGACAGAGGGCCACCTTCTTTCCCTCATCCTTTAGGCACCCATATCTTCTCATCTTCCTTCTGATACTTCTTATTCTCTCCTACTCCACACCGCAAATCTTTACAGACACAGAACTCAACAGACAAAAGAGACTAATGGAGCAGGAAGATTATGTATGAATAGGGGACATATTCCACATAATGGTAGAAATGACCAGCTATATCATAAGTTGCAAACTGTTGACCTATTTCTCGAGACCAAGGACAATTGCTCAGTTATTAAAGTAGAGCACATTTTGAAGCAATTCTGGAGTAGGGTTCACAGGGCTACAGACACACACAAAAGATAAGTACTTCTTACTTAGGCCCATCAGTTACCCCAATTTTCAATTTTTGTGTTTAATCAATATATTTTGAAGTTATACAGTATTTTTATTTATCCAACATTGCACTTTGACTGCAAGATGTTTGTGTGAAATACTGATTCAGATATCAGTTTCGAAAAAGATACACACAGTATTTGTAAATACAGTAAAATCTACACTATACTTAAGGTACAACTATCCACCCACCTGTTCCATAGTTGAGTTATAGTTAAAGTCCTTCCTGTTGTTGACTTCCCACAATATATAGTTTGCCTGAACAGTCCTTACAGGTGTTTCTCTGTCATATCTGAAAGAAAATATGGTCTAATATTTCGGTCTAAAAATGTAAAAACATACCAGGTGTCAACTACTGAAAAGTACCACTCTAATAGTGATGGTGATGAGGTGTCATGTCAGTTCCAAAAGTGACCTTTTGCCAGGGTTTTCTAGCTATAAAGCACTCCAGAGTTATTTACCAGTCGCTTCTTCCAGTGGCATTCTAGAACTACGCAACTTTCCCAAGAGTACACAGCCTGACTCTTCTGTCAGGAAGCACAGTGGGGAATCGGACTCCAGATGTCTGGTTCCACAGCCAAGTAATAAGAAGAGCCCTTGCCATTCAGTTCAATTGCACATACAGGAGCAACCAGATGATAGGGGAGGGGTAACCAAGGAATTTCCAGTATTGTATCTCTTTCCCTCACTGCTGCAATAGATAAGTTAAAGAAACAGCTGAGTGAATGATGGTTTCTTAGTACATCTTTTCCATGAGTCTCTTAATGTTGAAGGACTCCTTTGATTTAATAGTATTTTAATGTTAATGTCTTAATTTACTGTATTGTAATTTAAAATATATGTACTTTTCAGCTGTTGTACACGGTCTTGTGTCCCTTTATTGGGAGAAAGGTTATGTATGTATGTATGTATGTATGTATGTATGTATGTATGTATGTATGTATGTATGTATGTATGTATGTATGTATGTATGTATGTATGTATGTATAAATAACAAACAAACAAACAAAGTGAACATTACTTACAAGACAACAGTAGGACGAAATGGATCTGCGTAGTAGGCCTCTATTGGACAACCAAATTTTTCCATATTATATTCTACCTCCTAAGGGAAAGGTGTATGTTATATTCTGTCAAGGCAGAACTGACTTACAGCTAGCTTAATACGATTTCAAGGTAATATGATATTTAAAGAATGGTTTTACCTGTTCCACCCCTTAGAGCAGTGGTCCCAAACCTTTTTGGGACAGTGGACCAGCTGAGCTTCTGAGGAAGGCAGGGTACCCCTCTGTGTGCACTCTCTCTCGGGCGCATGTGTGAAGAGTGGGGGAGTGTGCCCGCCCGCAGGTGCTCGGGTGCATGTGTGAAGGGGTGGGGGAGCACTCACGCCGCTGATAGCATGCGTGCGCAAAGCAGCTGTGGGGAGGGGAGTGCATGCAGGGGTGGGTGGGAGGTCTGTCTCCGCAGCCTGGTCCGGCTCAAGCCATGGACCGGCACCAGACTGGAGGTTGATGATCTCTGCCTTAGAGGATGGCCATGGCCAAGTGGGGATTCAGTCCATCACTGTATCCACCACAACACACTATCGGAAAATGCAGTTTAATGTTGACCTTTATTTCTATATAAGTAGTTTATTAAAATAAAATCTGTAACACTTACCAACCCTTTTCCATCTGTTTTGGTCCAAAGAGATTCCCTAATATGAAGAAAAAAAATAAAGCTACCCAGCTGCACAGGAAATTTTTGAAGATTTCTTCTTAGTCACACCAACTGGTAGGGTTTCCCACAAATCTTTAATATATTGTAAACTCATAAAACACCCAGCAAGAGCCTCTCCACTCTACAGCACAAAGTATGGACTTACGGCTCAAATCCTTTTGGATATTTACACACATGCTGGAGGCATCACAGAAACTGCCAGGGCTGATTGACAAAGTGCTGGGTGCCCAATCAGGTGCATGACATGCAAGCAACTAACACCTCATCAATTAGTTGCGGCAACTTCCATGATTTCTTTTGCAATTATAAAGAATGCCAACCTGTTTTAAAGACAGGACAATTTAAGACTAGAACCCTCTGAAATAATCAGTGGATACGGCTGGGTGAGTTCAAAACAAAAGTCTCATCTGGAAGACCATCAGCCCACTCAGAAGTCTGCTTTCTCAAGACTTTCCCTCATAGTAGACGGAAACAGACCTAGAGAAAAAGAAGCAAGCTATGCAGCGGCGGAGGCAGCGGGGACAGGAGGCAGAGGGCAGCGGGGACAGGAGGCAGAGGGCAGCAGGGGCAGCTCTGGAAGCCTGGGAAGCTGAAAGCCGCCCCGACCACGCCGGGTGCCAGCTTCCCAGGCCTCCAAAGCACCGGCACCCAGCGTGGAGGTCAGGGCGGTGTTGGAAGCCTGGGAGGCTGAGCCTCCCTTTTCCTAACCGTTGGGGCAAAGAAGCAGCCTCTTCGCCACCAACAGTTTGAATTTCCCGTCTTTTCCCCCTGCCTGTTTCTTTTCATAAGTGGAAGCTCTGGCTGCAAGTTGAAGCAAAATTTTGCAGCCGGAGCTTATTGTAACTCGAAATTTTCGTAAGTAGGGACATCCGTAAGTCGAGGCTCCACTGTAATTCAAGTTGGGTGGTTGGAACCTCAATACCCAAGAGTTGACAATGTGGAGGGCTTGAGTGAAGGGACAAATACCTTTAGGGGTAACTAAAGGTTGGTGGCAGTGAAAGAGGAAGAGAGGGAATAAGTGAGGATTATTAAAGAAAATGCAGTTATTCCTGTGGTTATTTTTAGGGACCATTACCTAAATAATCAAGTGAGAAGATAAAGGGAATTTTGAAATAAGTATAAGACAGGTAGGACATAAAACCTTTGCAGAACTAGAGACTAAATTTTAATAGAGTTTAGCAAGAGAATTATATAAACTGTTCTCAGCACCATTCTTCCTAAATATATTCTATGATTGCATTTTAATGGACTTGTACTCTGTGTTTAGCCCCCTGCCTTTTTTGGTATTTCTGTTGTCACAACATTAAAATTGAACTTTTGAGAGTTTATACTGTTTTAACTGCTTAGTTATAACATAGTTTATTTTATTTGTTCTCCATCATATGGTGTCTCTTGTTTAAGCCAATTATTTAATTGTTTATGTTTGCACTAATCATATTCATACTAGATATTCTGTTAACATGACTTTTGCTTAGCCCATTATGTAAAGCTAACACAGTCCCTGCATGGGAAAAAGTGAGTTGAAAAGGATTAGAGTTAATGGTTGGTTTTTATATAGACTTCTTGTTTTTCTAAAACTCACTGGGCATCTCAAGATCCCTGAAAAAAAAACCTAACACACCAATAACAAAAACATGCCATTTCTACTTCTCACCATCATGGTTCAGTGAAAATCAGCATAAGATATGTATGTCTCCATAAAACATCACATTGGCTGTGAAAAAAAAATCTCAATGTAGTAATTTGTTGGTATTTTTTTTATCTGTAAAAATAAAACAAAAAATCTTGGATGCACACTGCAATGTGGGGAGGTTATTTGAGTGGGTCGGGGAAAGTAAGAGCAATATCAATAGGAGGCTACACTCTTATTACACGTCTAGATCCCTAAAAGGGTTACCGAAAGACTGAGACACCAGTGCAGTGACCCTTTTCCATAACTAACAGTTGCAGAAGAGAATTTATCATTCTAGTGATGATAGTGTGGAGACACTGGGCAGTGCCACTCAAACAGTATTACTATGCAAAAGGAAGCAATGATAAAGCAGTTCTGAATGCTTTAAAATTCAAAAACTTTATGATAAAATAATCCAAAATAAAACAAGTAGTAGTGATGGAAGATGAGACTTCCAGATTCGAAGGCACTCAACCACAGAAGAAGAGCAAAGGATGAGTACAAGTATCACTGTTCTTAATGAAGCAACTGCTGTGCACAGATGTAAAAAGTAAGGCCAAAGTTGCATAATATACAGTATATGATTGGAATTTAAAATGTGCAAAATATGAATCAAGGTAATCTCAAATTTTAAAACAAGACTTGGAATGTATACTTGTTAATATGCCTATATGTTATCATGGCAGATAACGTAATAGTAAGGTTAGTCACAAATTATTTTAAGAAAAATGGAAGTCTGTAATATCTATATATCAATTAATGAAAATTCTTAAGAAAATGCAATATATCTGTACATTAAGATATAAAAAACATTCAGCAATGGAACTGGATTGTATAAAGTTCCTTACGCAGGTATATTGACTATGAAATTTTCCTTTTTACAACTTGAAGGTCTGTGTGTAGAAAAAAAAGAACTATATTGAGATATTTTTGATTAAATCATTGTTTGAACATACTGTATAATACAGACATTCTTATGGTACTTCCATTGTCATATTACATGAGCACACAGTGACAGTTTTTCTCCCTCCAAAATTTTGAATGGGCATATAATGTATATTTGTCAAATTTTCATTATAATTACTGGTGTATTTTCTTTAGACTTGTCAAGAACAAGTGCTTTTGATTGATCTGGTGAAGTTCAAGCAATGGGTTAAAGGTTTTTTTGTCTTATTAAACCCTACAGGATAAACTACAGGAAAATTAATCTATGTAGTCTTAAATGTTTTCCTGATCCTGGAATTTTGCCAGCGCACTTTAGCCTCCTAATGACTGTTAGCAGAAATGAATCTTTGAAGTTTCAGTCTTCTTCTGATTTGTGGACTGCAGTCTGCTTTCTAATTGGTGACTGAACAAAGGTATTGAAATTCTTTCAGTTTCTTTATTCTCAACATTAAATTATGTAATTGCTCTGTACTTATTATTTTTGCCTCCTTTGTGCTCAAATAAATCACAACTACGTAGAATAGGCCCATTTGAATCAATGGAACTTATAGTGTTGACTCACCAAATCCCCATTGATTCTATGGACCTGCTTTAGTGTAATTATACTAAGCAACAGGATTTCAGTCATTTTGTAATTGTTATTTTTTCTATATTTTACATTCACTGAAAAGTTACATTTGTAGTTCTAACCTGCTTTTGTCACCTTTTACTTTTGCTTCTTGTCTTTCAAAAAGAGTTAAGAGTTTCATGTGTCACTCATCTATGCTTTTTTATATTTTGATGACAAGAATAGTCTTTTTGCATTCTCCTTAGCGAAATAAAAATTATACTTACATGTGACACATATAAAGGTTTTAAAAAGTTAATAACAGCTACTGGAATGTCTTAAATCAGATCTGGAAGGTGGTCTATGATAAGTAACATCATTTTCCCATTTAATACCTCGCTCTCCAAAACTGTTCACTTAGTGGAGAAATTGCTTTTGGGGAAGCATAATTTGGAATTCTGATGAGGTTGATCAATTCAGTACTTCTGTGTTCTAACCTTGATCTTCAGTACCTGCAGCTGCTCCTAGCCATTTTTTTTTTAAAAAGAAATTTGAGAAATAGAGAGGTTACTTACCTGTGACCATTGTTCTTCTAGTTGTACTCTGTGAATCCACACAAATGGGTTAAACTGCGCCTGCGCAGGACTCTTCGGAATATTCTAGAGGTAAAAATGAGAAGTGAAATGTCTCCCTGTGTTGCACATGCTCCACCCTCCAGTACCTCAGTTCCGAATATCTGCTGCTGTAATGGCTCTGAAAAATCAAATGCCAAAGAATGTCGTGAAAGATAGCGGGGAGGTTGGATGGGACGTGTGGATTCAGAGTACCACTAGGAGAACCACGGTTACCGGTAAGTAACCTCCCTTTCTTCTTTGTGGTTTCTGTGAATGCACACGAATGGGTGACTAGCAAGCTCACTTACCAGAAGGAGGGCCGTCACGGCAGAACCAAAGTCAGCACAGTCCTTCTGAAACTTGCTTCTTTCTTTGTTCTGACATCCTGTCTGTAATGGGTAGCAAAGGTCAGTGGTGTAGACCAGGTTGCTGACCGACAGATGTCAGAGTGTTCAATGTCACACAGCCATGCAGTGGAAGTAGCCCATAGCTCTGGTGGAATGTGCTTTGAGCACCTCTGGTGGAGTTTTGCCAACCAGGTCATAGGCTAAGGTGATAGCAGAAACCAACCATCTGGAAATGGATTAGGAAGAAGATGGAACACCCTTCAGAGGACCATGAAAATAGACGAATAGTCTGGGAGATTTACAAAAGTCTTTTGTTCTTGAGATGTAAAATGCTAGAATCCGACGAACATCAAGGGAGTGGAGCATGCACTCAACATCTGACAAAGGGTTGGGAAACAACGTTGGGAGAATCAAGGGTGATTAACATGGAATTCTGAAATCACCTTAGGAAGGAATGAAACATCCGGATAGAGAACAACTTTCTCAGGGCAGAACTGTATATAAGGCTCATCAGCCGGTAGTGCAGCTAATTCACTTGCCTTTCATGCAGACGTGATGTCCACCAAGAACAAAATCTTTAAGGACAGTAATTTCAAAGAAGAAGTAGCCATTGGCTCAAACAGAGAACGTGTGAGGACCTTCAGGACAATCTGAAGGGACCATTGAGGAGCTGGTGGTAGCACGGGAGGACAAATATTCTGTAGACCTCAAAGGAATTTCTTAACAGTAGGGTGAGAAAACAAATGAGAAACTTCTGAACCCACCGGCTGATATGATAAGATGGCTGAAATATAAAACTTGAGTGTGGAATGTGCGAAACCCATGTCAAACAAATGGCACAAGAAGGTAAGGAGAGTTCTCAGAGAAACAGAAACCGTAACAAAACCTCTGAGTTCGGCAAATTTGGTAAAGGCAGACCATTTGTGGGAGTATAATAATTTGGTTGACAGTTTTCTAGCTTTGTCGAGTACCCCTTTTATGATGGGAGAATCCTCCGCACTGTGAGATGGAGAGATTCGATATTGGGGTGGCAGACATTGCCTCCGTTCTGAGTCAGGAGAGATGGTTGGGGCGGCAACCTCAGGTACTTGGCTGCAATGGATTTGAGGGTGGTGAACCATGGATGCCAAGGCCACCATGGTGACACCAGGATGGCATCTGCTCTCAACTGTTGTATTTTGATTATTGTTTGTTGAATCAATTGGATGAGTGGGAAAAGGTAGAGAAGCACCACGTCCCATTGCAGTATAAATGCACCTCCTAAGGATCTCATGCCTCTGCCCGCTCAGGAACAAAAGCTTCGCACTTTGTGTTGGATTGTGTGGCGAAGATGTCGATGGTCGGTGTGCCTCACCTGCTGCAGATGCAATTGAACAATGAGTCGCCAAGGACCCATTTGTGTGTCTGAGTAGTCAGACGACTCAGGTGATCTGCTACGTAGTTGTCTTCTGTCGCCACATGGATGGCAATTGGGAATATGTGATTGTTGTAACACCACTCCCATAGGTGGATTGACAGGTACAGAAGGGACAAAGAATGAGCGCCTCCCTGCTAGTTTATGTAGCACAAAGTGGTAATGTTGTCTGTGACTACTTGTACTCCTTGATGCAAGGAGTACAAGTGGTACAAGTGGTCTTGGAAGCTCGGAAGGCCTTGATGACTGCTAACATTTCCAGATGATATGTAGCAGCCTCTCCGAACTGGACCACTTGGTGTGGATCTTGTGAATGCCACAGTGCATGTCCCTTCCTTTCGTACTGACATTGGTTGTAACTTGCACAGTCAGTTGGAGGGGCTTGAAAAGCTGACCAATCAGCAGTTGAGGCGGGAAAGTCCACCATGTTAGTTAACATGCCAACTCTGGGGTGAGCTGAAGATGCTTGGCCGGTTTATCCAGCAATGGATCGAACTGGGAGAGGTACCACGTCTGCAATGAGCGCATCTTCAGTCGCACATGTGGAAGAGCAGACGTGGTGGAAGCCATCAGACCCAGGAGATGTTGAGTGTGATGTGCTGTCACTCTGGCACCGGGCCGAAAGGGATGGATAGCATGATTTAATTTGTGGAGCCTTTCGACGGGGAGGAAGATTCTGGCTCTGTTGGAGTCCAGGACTGTGCAAATATAGTACACAGTCTAAGATGGTGTAAGATGGGATTTTGTTATGTTGGCCTGAAGTCCTAGACCTTCCAGTGTCTGCAGTGCGAAAGCTGTGTCCTTTTGTGCCTTGGCATATAAGCCAGCGACAATCAACCAGTCATCGATATATGGGAAAAACATGTTGCTGTTGAGAAGAAGGTATGCTGCTACTGGAGCTAGGCACTTCGTGAAAGTCCTTGGGGCGGTGGCAAGGCCGAATGGGAGGGCACAGAATTGGTACACTGATTCCATGAACATAAATTTGAGATACTTGCAGTGACGCTCATGGTTGGTGATGTGAAAGTAAGTGTCCTGCAAGTCTATCATGATGAACCAGTCGTCTGGGGCAAGAAGAGGCATGATGGACTCTAAAGTGACCATATGGAACCTTTGGTGATGTAGGTAAGTGTTGAGGCATCTGAGATCCAAGATAGGCTGTAGACCTCCATCCTTCTTGGGGACCATGAAATAGCGAGAGTAGAAGCCATCCAGTGCTTCCTGAGAAGAAATGCATTGAATGGTGTGCTTCTGAAGAAGGACAGAGTTCTTCCTTTAGAGCAGGTAAGGAGTAATCCGGAGATTACCGAGAGGAGGAAGATCTAAGAACTGTAACACGCAACCAAAACGTATGATGGCGATCACTCAAGTGTCTGTGGTGATGTTGTTCCACTTGTTGAAGAATGGGGCTAGCTGGGGAAGGTAAGATAGTCTGGAAGGACGAATCAGTAGAGGACAGTCAAATATACTGTTTGCCCTCCTTGGCACGGCGACAGAAATTTTGATGACATTGATTAGGAGGTTGTGGCTAGAAGGACATGGCAGCAGATGGTAGAGATGTGACCTTTCTTGAGGAGGTTTATACTGACAGTATGTTGGCTGGTATGGTTGTTGGTATGACTCTTGGTTGTTGGTATGGTTGTTGGTATGACTCCACTGCTGTTGCTGAAATTTAGGTTGTTGAAGATAGTATGATCTAGCCGTTTTTCTGGTTTTGTGCAAATTTTCCGTAACATCATCTGTTTTTTTGTTAAACAACTCGGCACCATCAAAAGGGAGTTCTTCAACCTCAATTTGGCATCATCGTTTATCCCAGATATGCGTAACCAAGCATGTCTCCTCAAAGTGATTGCTGATGTCATGGCCTTGGAAGCAACATCAGCAGTGCGCCTTGATGTCAGGTGTTGCTGTTTGGCTAATGTTGTTGCTTCAAGGCCGCAGTTCTAGTCTCCTCAGGGGCAGCTTGGAAAAGTGGAAGGATTTTTATTCCACAGATGCCTCTGATAAGCACCGTTGCCACTTGGTA